CAGGACAAAAGATCCTTCATCACCGAAGTGACGTTTTAGAAACAGTGGTCCTGATCAACCCCTCAGATGAAGCCGTCAGCACTGAGGTAAGCATGTGGCCCCGCGGAGCCTAGGGCGGAGTGTCACCCGGTGGACGGAGCCCACCTGACTGGAAGGGCAGGGGCGGGCGGGGCAGGAGAGGGACACGGAGAGAGAAGTTCTGCATCCAGGGTCGCTTCCTTACCCCCAGTCAGTGGCTGGTTCTCTACCTCAGGACCACCCCAGACTGCCCCTCCCCAGAAGGACAAAGTGGAAGATGCGTGGTGGAACTGGGGTATTTTATAGAGGCAAGAGGATATGAAATCTTGGGTGTTTATGGCGGGTGTGGTGCTCGGTGGTGTCTGGCTGGGAGGTAGCAGGGGAAATAGACTGCAAGCCCTCAGGACAGGACATTTAGGACACAGATTTGGAGAAAAATAGTATCTTTGAGGCAAGCTCCCTCCAGAGCCATTCTGCTTACGCCCCTATAATCACCACCAAAAGGCAGGATAGCCTGGTGATCAGGAGCATGGCCTTGGGTGCCAGAATCCCCGGATTCTGCCACTTTTAAGCTGGTGGCCTGGGGTAAATTATTTATTGTCTTTTTGTCTCAGTTCCTACCTCCGTGAAATGGAGATCACAACAGTGCTTATGATGTGATTAGAAGCCTTAAATGCTTAAAACAGAGCATGGCGTGTAAGCACTGAAATATAAATGTTGGTTGTTCTTCTTATTAATGTTATTATTACTGTCATTTGAAATTATTGCCAAAAAAGAATAACTGGGTATTTCTGAGACTATAGTTAGAGAAGAGCTTGGCTGAAGCCAAGAGTCCCTGAAGGGAATTGCTGCAGCTCCCTTTTCCTCTTCTTTTATGACAGGTTAGCAATTTTGAAACCAGGTGCTGCTTGGACATTAAGGTTGCCACAGTCCCTGGGGGCTGGGGGAGGGGGGACTTTATTATCTACAACAGCTCCTCTGCCCATGCTTTGAGCTTCTTTTTGAAAATTGAGATACAATTCATATATCATAAAATCCATCTTTTAAAGTGTGTAATTCATGGGTTTTTAGTATATGCACCAAGTTGCGTGCCTATCATCGCTGTCTGTTCCAAAATATGTCCACCACCCCTTGAAAACCCCCAGCCGGTTAGCCAACGCTCCCCATTCCTCCCAGTTGCCGGCAACTTGTAATCTACTTTTTGCCTCTGTGGATTTGCCTCTTGGAGTATTTTGGATAATGGAATCCTATACTAGGTGGCTTTTGTGTCTGGCTTATTTCCCTCAGCATAATGTTATCAGGAGTCACCCATGTTGTAGCATGTATCAGTACTTCATTCCTTCTTTACGATTGAATGCTATTCCATTGTGGGGATGTCCCTCAGTTTATCCAGTCATCAGCTGATGGACACTGGGTCGCTTCCACTTTTTGGCAATCATTATGTAGACTGTTGTGATCCCACTTCCATCTGCTCCAGATCGGCAGGACCTCTTTGACAGTCCATGAAGGCACGTGTTTGAGGCAAATGGTGGGCTAGCAGTCTCTCTGTGATTAACAGAATTAGGAAGTAAAGGCAACTTGAGATGGAAAAGGAAAAATAAGGAATTTCTCCAAGGAATCCAGGCTTGCTTGTGGAGCAGATGGGGCTGGAACGATTACGTGGGTCTTGTGTGTTTCCTTGATTAGAACTTGGGATTCTTGGGGGCCACGCGTCATGTCCTGTTTACTTTTGTATCCCTCCCTTGGTGTCTAGCGTGGTGCCTGGCAGTGAATTTGTGCTGAGCTGAACTGTGCTCAGAACGCATACCTTGGTGCTTGGAGCAGCGTTTCTGCTGAAGGACAGGCTGGCTTCCTGCCACTTTAAAGAACAGAGAGTTCTTTCGTGCAAACCATTTACAATTCTATTTAAAAGATTCCCATTTGGGGGGGGAAAAAGATTCCCATTTCGAGCAGCCTTTTGTTTCTGTTCAATGTCAGGCACCTTGCTGATCCTACTGGAGATGGGCATTTGGAGCTGAGCGTTTGCTGGGTCGCTTGGAAGGAAAGGGGTCCTGTAAGGGAGGGGCTCACTGGGGACTGTCACTGGAAATCTGTGCTTCCTGAGGCAGCAGTCGGGGGGCTGGGCTGTACTTGGTGACTCAGCCTGTGAGACATCCCTAAGTCTCACAGACGGTACGCTGCTAGCAGACACAGCTGTGGAGACTTCTGTGTGAAAGACAAGGAAACTAGTGGGGAGAGAGTCAATCACCACTTCTGGTTTGGTCATCTCGAACATGGAAGGTGGCACTCATGGGCCCGTTGACCAGATGATCACAGTTGTTGGCTCTGTCCACTGCACCCCAGGGGAAATGCATGAGTTTGGCTGGTGATGGATGTCAAGCCCTGCAAGAGCCAGCCCTGTCCTGCGAGTGGGATGGCAGGTGGTGTTATGTGTGACTCATGTCCAGCTCCCTGTGCTTTGTTTCAGGTGCGCCTGATGATCACGGACGCTGCCCGACACAAGCTGCTCGTGCTGACTGGGCAGTGCTTTGAAAATACCGGAGAGCTCATTCTCCAGTCCGGTTCTTTCTCCTTCCAGAACTTCATAGAGATTTTCACCGATCAAGAGGTGGGCTCCTGTCCGCAAATAGCTAAGCTTTCCAGTTGCTTGGTTACAGTTGTAGCCTGAGGCTCCACTTTGAAAACCAGGGACTGGGGCTAGGAGAAGGGGAGGGAATGTCACACCTCCTTTGAAATAAGCAAAATTGCATGATCCAACATACCGTAGTCCTACTGACTCATCACCAAAAGAATTCAGGACACCCATCTATAATGAATTGGAACCATTCTTAATGTGCTGGAGATGGAGGTGGAGGGGGATTGGAATAGTCAGTAGTTCAGAGATGGCAAAAATAATGGAGAAACTTGAAATGATAGAGCCCAGAAGAAAACCCAGGAGTCCTGTTTTTTCTGAAAGTGTACTCCAAAGATCTCTTAGTCTTTTGGTAGGATTCAACTGCCCTGATGTCTTTCAATATCTCTACTTACTTTCCCCGGTCTAATTATTTCTCACTGGTCTTACTATTAATGCCTGGTCCCAGTGTTTGAACTTGGGCTGCTTGAACAGCCCAACAAAGAGAAGGCTCAAGAAAGGGAAGCAGGTAGGGAAATGCGGCACATCCTTGCCCCCAAGAACAAGATGGTTAAGGCAGCTGGATTGGGTCATTAGTATTTCTAATGAACATATCTTATTCTATGATGATACATGTGAGGGGTTGAATATTATATGACATTAGTGGTATTTGGTAAAATCAGATTTTAAAGAGCTTAATTTGGTTATTTTTGCTTGAGAATTTATCCTGGCTGGGAAAATTCTCTTTCCAAAACAACATGCCTCTTTCATTTTGTTTGGTTAGTAGTTAGATATTCTAACTACTAGGGCCATCAACGTAATGGGTTGGGGCCTGCCCATGGTGGATCACATGTTTCTACACGGAGGGGCTGAGGGATGTGTACACAGGAGTCCCCGTGTCCACTTGAAACCATCTTCCTGAGAACTTCCTGAGTTGGTGGCCTCTCAGCCACCCAAGTGGCAAAGGGCCATCTGTCTCTCTGCATTTAAGCTTCCTTAGCCCTGGGCTTCACAGAGAGGCCTCTCTGTACCTGTCATCAATGGTAAGAGCTGTGGCTTTGTTTGGCTTACCCGGAGGCTTTGTGAAAACTTTGGCTGGGTGACTTCACAGTGTTTCACTCCCCACCCACTGGGGAGAATAAAAAACAGGGAAAAGAAACATTTCACTTAGCATTTAAAGCCCCCACTTTCAGAAGGTGTGATGTCAGCTGGGGCCTGAGGCAGACAGCCCTGGCTTCCCACAGCAGGAAGGGGCCCCACAGCAGGAAGGGGCCTCAGGGTGCACTCACAGCTGGTACCATCCTAACCTTCTTCAAAACGAATGAAGTCTTTTGTCCCTTTCTCTCCGGAGTTTGTCATCTCCCTACCTCCAAGGCTACTAGGGTTTAGCCTGCACAGTTGGAAATCACTTACTTAACAGAAGATTGTATTGACCAATGGTCACTAGCCATTTAGAGCCACGACTGCCCCTGTGTCCTTAGAAAAAGTACAGAATGACTCCGTAACAAAGGGACCTTAAAGGTCACTGGTGTTGAGGTTTGTTCCTTTTATTGAGTTCTTGATACATGCTCGTCCCTCTAGAGAAACCAGAAACACCATTTAGGAAAAACAAATGATGCATTTTTAAAAAATAAAAATAGATTAAAAATAAATGGACTGAAAAGTACAATTACTAATACATCTTGAGTTTCAGTTTGTGGGAGTCTTAGTCATTGGAGGTTAACTACATAACCAGAACTTAACGGATAGAAGAGTTATCTGGGCAACCCATTCCTCCCTGGAATCTGAAGAAGGTGAAATCATATCTCCTGGGACAGTTTTCATTCTCTCTATTAGAGAGTTTTTCCTTCTTTATCTCATTCTATCTTATTTTTGGAAGGAATGTGCTCCCTTTTCCACTTGAGGTATTGCAGACACCCATCACCAACACTGCCAGTTGTTTTTTCCCTTCAGATTATTTTCAGTTCTTCACACCATTCTTCATAAAAGAAGAGAGTGAAAGTTCATTACATTGTCTGGTCACATTCCTTTAAGCCTGTTGGCAGGAAAGGGATGAGATGGGTTTGGGGGAAAGTGAGGAGTTGTCTTGGGCATGTTTTAGTGCCTTGGTGTTACCAGATAATTAGATACATGAGTCAGGGGCTCGAGGAACCAAGAGTGGGGCTGGAGACACATGGAAGCAGATGAAGTGATCTAGAGAGAGAAGTGTATTCAAAGGGCAAGGTTTAGAGGTTATGGTCAAGGAGGAGGAGAAAACAACTTCAGTTTGTCTGTTTGGTTTTGGTCTTGTTTCTTTAAAATGTCATGACTCATACTGGGCACCATACTCCAGGGGTCCCTGACCAGGTTAGGACTTCTAACCTGACTTCTGTAGTTTTCAATACAATCTTCTATTAAGTAAGTCTGAAAGTAACTTTTGACCATCAACATCCATAATTTAAATGTCACTGGGGAGGGGATGCAGGCTTTAAAGAGAGCTGTAATTTACATAAACTAGGGGCTCACTTTAAGAAAAAGAAAACAAAATTATCAGTACACAGTTAAGTACAGGGCTTTGGGAGGGGACCATGCCAGCGAGGAGCCTTGAAGTTTAAGCTGCTTTAGCTTTACGATAAATCCACTTGCCTGTCAACTAAAATCCTTGAGTCTTCTCCATGAATATGGTTGTTAAGCCACATCTCCCAATCCTTTGCTTTATCCCGCTGATTTACTGGACCTTACATTTATCCCTTTAGTACGCCAGCCTGTTAGAGTTAACTTAGCCATCATCATCCCAATGTCAAGAGCTTTCCGTGAGTGTTTTAACTCTGCCATCCCACATTTTGCTCTGCCTCCCATTTTCATGCCACTGACAGATTTGACAAGCATGTCTTTACCATTTTTATTCAAGTCAGTGCTCCATAGGACATAAATGTGGCCTGAGGCATCCCGTCACAGACCTCCGTCCAGGTTGACACTAAGCAGCAGGATTTCTATGAGTGGCTACGAATCCGCCTCATTCTGCTATCACACTGTTCAGAGATCTTCTTAAACGTCTTGCTAAAACCCAGAGATACACTGTCCACCATATTTCCTCATCAGTCAAGCAAGTAACCTAATCAAAAAAGGAAATCTAGTTAGAGTAGGCTGTGGTTTAGAAATTCAAATCTTATTTCATTATCTGCAGTAAAGTAAATTATTTCTCATCTCTTCCTTCCTCTTCCAGTATGCCTGCATTTAATTATAGTTTTAACATATTTAACAAAAAGACTATCTTTGCTCCAAGCAATATTTCTTCCAGTTGAGTCTCTCCTCTGTATTCCTAAGAACAAAGGTAGCGTAGCAATCAGTGTGCTTGAGAAGTATTCGCAGGCTCATGGTCACTTCCAAAGCAGCCACTCTGGGAGGACAGTGCATATTGAATTGGCCAAGTTCAGTGCAGTTTAACAAACATCTCTGGAGCTGATGATGTATTAGGGAAACACACATAACAATACAGAGATAAGCGAGGGTGTGTTTCCTCCTATTCACAAACTTCTACTACAATGGGCTATATTAACTACCATTTACAATGATGATATTTCCAAACTCTATAAGAGGAAGACACTTTTTCCAAGTCTGAGATGTACTCACAAGTTTCCTTGCCACTGCTAAGGCTGTTGGCTCCTCCTTATTTCTCTCATCTGTGCATTGCATACAGATTGAGTGGGTGTTCTTAAGACTTAGTTTTGCTCTGAGACACTCACTCCAGCATTCGTGTTGGTGCTCAGGTCTGGAAGCTGGCTTGGGCAATGGTCGGGGAAACAGAGGCTTTGCTGCCACTGTGTAGCTCTAAGACTGTGGGAGTCATGCCTCCTATTCCCTCTCTCCTTCGTGAAGGCCTCTCTCTAGCTCTGCTCTCTGCATTCCTGCCTCGTCATGCCCAGTACACTGCGGCTTCTCCAGGAAGACCTGATTTTCCCTTTCCGAAAGAAACCTGTGCAGTGCTGACTTTCTTCTCTGCTTTCCCTTGTACATAGTTTTTTATTCACCAGACTCTTGGCTGTTTTTCAATACCCTTGACTTCCTCAAAATTCTGTGCAGACTTGCTTTGTTTTGGGGTCATATTTCCTTCATTTCTTAGGAACTTCCCAGATAGAAGTGAAAAGATGGGAAATAGAGAGGTATTCCTCAAGTTGGATTTTTGGGTGTTTTTTTTTTTTTTTTTTTTTTACCTTTTCCTTAAACTTGATTCAATACCTTCTACACACAGCTGGCTCATACCCTTAGCTGCCACACCCCTCAGGGTGGAATTTTAAAAACTGAAATGAAGTAAACTTAATTTTAAAATTTCACTGTTGAAGACTCAGCATTTTGAGCTTTCCTAGATTTCTCCTCTAAAATGTATTATAAAGCATGAATAGTGTGTATGTACTTGGTGTGAAAATGAGGATGGAGAGAACCCTAATTGTGCTACAATAACGGTGATGAGGGTCTATGCTAATTACTGGACGACAGACCCTCTTTGGTGCTAATGTTTGCTCTGATCAGCAGATAATTTGAGTAAAAGCCACCCCAGATGGGCTTTTTCAGTTTTCTTACCTTCTAAAACAGTGGACTTGTCTCCCTTTTATAGGAAATTGTCAAGTCTGAGGAAAAACAACAAAGTCAAAGACTTACTATTTTGCTATTTTGTGACCCTTCACAAAATGTAGGATAAATACACTAACAAAACAGAAGTGGAAATGTCACTACAATCTAATGTAGGAAAATTCAGATTCTATAAATTACCCATCTACACCACACACACTAGTTGCCTTGGAATGTTAGTGTCCAGGAGGTTGTGTGAGACAGGAAACCATTCGAAGACTGGAAAGTGAGAGTTCATACCATGCTGGCTGGGGGATGCCTGGGCCAAGTGAAGTCTTTACTTTCCTTTTCATCATTAGCCATCGAAGACACAGAGCTCGTTTCACTTGAAACTCTGGGCTGATTTATGAGCTTTGCTACACCTGAGAGAAGACTGGAGTTGATGACATGATTTTCCCTCAGTATTTACTATGCCAAGACCATGAAACATATGGCCATACTATGGAGTTAGAAAGCACTTTGATTAAACCCCAGTCTCTGTTTTGGTCATGCTTTGCTCTTCTGCATTCCCATCCTATGGTCCTGTCCTATGCACTGAAAAAATTTTGAGCCAGATTTGATCCTAGCCACTCACACCCAGCTCGCTCTGAGAAAAGCAGGAGTTGTGAGAAAGCAGAATGTTTCACCTTGGATTTAAACCTGAGCCAATGGGGGACAAGTCTGGCGACTTGCTCCTATAATTAATTATCCATTTGCTTTCATCATGACTTTAATCAGAGGATTTGTATTTTCTGAGAATCTGCTGGATGAGCCACTCATGTTTTAAAGATGCCAGAACCAGTGACTTTTTGTAGTGATGTGTAGTCTAGAACTTTCTGTCTCTGAGGGGAAGAAAAACGCATCCAACTTTTTGCTTTGGTATCCACCAGATTCTAAAAGTAGTCAACAACTAGTGCACTCTATCTAAACTTTAGTGTGTCAGGCAGGCCTTTTGGCCAAGCCCAGTGGAATCGAGGAAGACATTTTATGTAAGTGGTGAGATGACTCTCATAGGCTTCCTCTGTGATTGTGTAAAGGGCATTTTGTGCATGGCAGGCACCCAGGGGTGATACCCAAAGTACTTCATAACCGCTGCGGCACAGGCACTGGTCATTCAGAATGGTCACTGGTCCTAGAACTGGAGCAGAGGTCTGGAGGTCCCCTGCTGGGCAAGAACAGAGGCTGGAGGGGTCCCAGAGGAGGTGCTGGCAGTGGGGAGCAGTGGTTGAGGCAGAAGGGAGTAGTAGAAGGGGCGCAGGATGAAGGCTGTTCACCTACCAGAATGGCAATAATTCTGTGTTTACCCAACTAGCACCTCTGAAATCAGCCCTTTGTGTACCCGGTGATCCTGTAATGCGATCCTGTAATGCGTAGTAATGGATGGAGATGATGGATCAGTGATGACAGTCATTTAAACCTTTTCTTTCTTCCTTTATTATTATTATTTTTTTAACTCCCAGATTGGGGAATTACTGAGTACCACCCATCCTGCCAACAAAGCCAGCTTAACACTGTTCTGTCCTGAAGAAGGGGACTGGAAGAACTCCAATCTCGACAGACACAATCTCCAAGACTTCATTAATATTAAACTCAACTCAGCTTCTATATTGCCAGAAATGGAAGGACTTTCCGAGTTTACCGAGTATCTCTCAGAATCCGTGGAAGTCCCATCTCCCTTTGATATCCTGGAACCTCCCACATCAGGCGGATTCCTAAAGCTCTCCAAGCCTTGTTGTTACATTTTTCCAGGAGGGAGGGGCGACTCTGCCCTGTTTGCCGTGAACGGATTCAATATGCTCATCAATGGAGGATCGGAAAGGAAATCCTGCTTCTGGAAGCTCATCCGACACTTGGACCGAGTGGACTCCATCCTACTCACCCACATTGGGGATGACAATTTGCCTGGAATAAACAGCATGCTGCAGCGGAAGATTGCAGAGCTCGAGGAAGAACAGTCTCAGGGCTCCACCACAAATAGTGACTGGATGAAAAACCTCATCTCTCCTGACTTAGGAGTTGTATTTCTCAATGTCCCTGAAAATCTTAAAAATCCAGAGCCAAACATCAAGATGAAGAGAAGCATAGAAGAAGCTTGCTTCACTCTCCAGTACCTAAATAAATTGTCCATGAAGCCAGAACCTCTCTTTAGAAGCGTAGGCAATACCATTGACCCTGTCATTCTTTTCCAAAAAATGGGAGTTGGTAAACTTGAGATGTACGTCCTTAACCCAGTCAAGAGCAGCAAGGAAATGCAGTATTTTATGCAACAGTGGACTGGCACTAACAAAGACAAGGCTGAACTAATCCTGCCTAATGGTCAAGAAATAGATATCCCAATTTCCTACTTAACTTCAGTCTCCTCTTTGATTGTGTGGCATCCAGCAAACCCTGCAGAGAAAATCATTCGGGTCCTGTTTCCCGGCAATAGCACCCAGTACAATATCTTGGAAGGACTGGAAAAGCTCAAACACTTAGACTTTCTGAAACAGCCACTGGCCACCCAGAAGGACCTAACTGGCCAGGTGGTGACTCCAGCTGTGAAACAAGTAAAACTGAAACAGAGAGCCGACAGCCGAGAGAGCCTGAAGCCAGCTGCAAAACCACTTCCCACCAAATCTGTCCGAAAGGAGTCGAAAGAAGAGACCCCTGATGTCACAAAAGCTAATCACGTGGAAAAGGCACCCAAAGTTGAAAGCAAAGAAAAGGTAACTGTGAAAAAAGACAAGCCCATAAAAACAGAGACCAAACCTCCAGTGACCGAAAAGGAGGTCCCCAGCAAGGAAGAGCTGCCCCCGGTGAAAGCTGAGGTGGCTGAAAAGCCCACCACAGATGTTAAACCCAAAGTTGCCAAGGAGAAGACGGTGAAAAAGGAAACAAAGGCAAAATCTGAAGAAAAGAAAGAGGAGAAGGAAAAGCCTAAGAAAGAAGTGGCTAAAAAGGAGGACAAAACACCCATCAAGAAGGAGGAAAAACCCAAAAAGGAAGAGGTGAAAAAGGAAGTGAAAAAAGAAATCAAGAAAGAAGAGAAAAAGGAACCCAAGAAAGAGGTTAAGAAAGAAACCCCACTGAAGGAAGCCAAGAAGGAGGTGAAGAAGGATGAGAAGAAGGAAATTAAAAAGGAAGAAAAGGAACCCAAAAAAGAAATTAAGAAACTTCCTAAAGACACAAAGAAATCATCTACTCCTCTATCTGAAGCCAAAAAACCAGCCGCATTAAAACCAAAAGTACCCAAGAAGGAAGAGGCGGTTAAGAAAGATTCTGTTGCTGCTGGGAAGCCAAAGGAGAAGGGGAAGATTAAAGTCGTTAAGAAGGAAGGCAAGACATCAGAGGCTGTGGCCGCAGCCATTGGCTCTGTGGCTGCTGCTGCGGCTGTAGCGGCAGCAGCTGGTGTAGCGGGCGCTGGCCCTGCCAAAGAACTTGAGGCCGAGAGGTCCCTTATGTCATCCCCTGAGGATCTGACCAAGGACTTTGAAGAGCTAAAGGCCGAAGAGGTCGATGTAGCAAAAGACATGAAGCCTCAGCTGGAGCTGATTGAAGATGAAGAGAAACTGAAGGAAACTGAGCCAGTCGAAGCCTATGTCATCCAGAAAGAGACAGAAGTCATCAAAGGCCCTGCTGAGTCTCCCGATGAGGGAATCACCACCACTGAAGGGGAGGGTGAATGTGAACAAACTCCGGAGGAGCTGGAGCCGGTCGAGAAGCAGGGGGTGGACGACATTGAAAAATATGAAGACGAAGGAGCCGGTTTTGAAGAATCCTCAGAGACTGGAGACTATGAAGAGAAGGCAGAAACTGAGGAGGCCGAGGAGCCGGAAGAGGACGTTGAAGAAAATGTGTGTGTGAGCACCTCCAAGCACAGCCTCTTGGAGGAGGAGGAAAGTGCCAAGGCTGAGGCAGATGTGCACATCAAGGAGAAGAGGGAGTCTCTGGCCAGTGGAGATGACCGAGCAGAAGAAGACATGAATGAGGTGGTGGAGAAAGGAGAAGCTGAACAATCGGAGGAGGAGGGTGAAGAAGAGGACAGAGCCGAGGATGCCAGAGAGGAAGAATATGAGCCCGAAAAAGCAGAAGCTGAAGATTACGTGATGGCCGTGGTCGACAAGGCTGCGGAGGCTGGCGGCGTCGAGGATCAGTATGGATTCCTTACCACAGCCATCAAGCAACCAGGAGCCCAGTCTCCTGCCCGAGAACCTGCGTCTTCAATTCATGATGAGACTTTACCTGGAGGTTCAGAGAGTGAGGCCACTGCTTCTGATGAGGAGAATCGAGAAGACCAGCCTGAAGAGTTCACTGCCACCTCTGGCTACACGCAGTCTACCATTGAGATATCCAGTGAGCCCACCCCAATGGATGAGATGTCTACTCCTCGCGATGTGATGAGTGATGAGATCAACAACGAAGAGACAGAGTCCCCATCTCAAGAATTTGTAAACATCACCAAATACGAGTCTGCACTGTATGCGCAGGAATACAGTAAACCTGCTGTTACGACACTCAATGGATTATCTGAAGGCTCAAAAACAGATGCCACAGATGGGAAGGACTACAATGCGTCAGCCTCCACCATCTCACCACCGTCGTCCATGGAGGAAGACAAATTTAGCAAATCTGCTCTGCGTGATGTGTACTGCTCGGAAGAGAAAGACCTAAGGGCCAGTGCCACACTGATGATCAAAGAAACCATCCCAGCAGTCTCCGATGAAAAACTGAGTCCACCCAAGAGCCCATCCCTGAGCCCATCTCCTCCTTCACCCATAGAAAAGACCCCTCTGGGTGAACGCAGTGTGAACTTTTCTTTGACGCCCAATGAGATTCAAGTCTCAGCAGAGGCAGAAGCAGCCCCAGTGTCTCCTGAGGTGACCCAAGAAGTAGTTGAAGAACATTGTGCTAGTCCTGAGGATAAGACCCTGGAAGTGGTGTCTCCCTCTCAGTCTGTAACTGGCAGCGCGGGCCACACGCCTTACTACCAGTCTCCCACGGAAGAGAAGTCTAGTCAGCTCCCCACAGAAGTAACTGAAAAACCACCAGCGGTTCCAGTGAGTTTTGAATTCAGTGATGCCAAAGATGAGAATGAAAGGGCTTCCATAAGCCCCATGGATGAACCTGTGCCTGACTCAGAATCTCCCATTGAAAAAGTTTTGTCTCCTTTACGGAGCCCTCCCCTAATTGGATCCGAGTCTGCATATGAAGGTTTTCTAAGTGCTGACGACAAGGCTGCTGGTAGAGGTGCTGAAAGCCCCTTTGAAGGAAAGAATGGAAAACAAGGCTTTCCAGACAAATTAAGTCCAGTTTCTGACATAACCTCTACTGGTCTTTTCCAAGACAAAGAGGAAGGGAAAAGCACAGACTTTATACCAATAAAGGAAGACTTTGGTCAAGAAAAGAAAACTGACGATGTCGAAGCTATGAGTTCTCAATCTGGACTGGCTTTAGATGAAAGGAAGTTAGGAGGAGATGTTTCTCCTACCCAAATAGATGTCAGTCAGTTTGGATCTTTTAAGGAAGATACTAAGATGTCCATTTCTGAAGGCACTGTCTCAGACAAGTCAGCTACTCCTGTTGATGAGGGTGTAGCAGAAGACACATACTCTCATATGGAGGGTGTGGCCTCAGTATCCACAGCTTCTGTGGCTACAAGCTCATTTCCAGAGCCAACAACAG